TTCTTTCATAGACACAACAAGGATAACAAACAATAAGAAATCAAGAATATAAAATACAAATCAGACAGCATATTCTTTCTTTTATCCTTTTTAAAAGCTTTATATTAGGAATGTGGGCTAAAACTTAGGAATTTCATTCAGAAAATCTTAAGGGATATTTTAGCTCTAACAATTTGACTAGAAGTTCTGGTAAAATAATATATACATTATGAACAGGCCTATCAGCCTCAATATTTGATAGCTTACTACATGTTTAAATTAAAAAATATACTTTATCACTATGCTATAAAGTATTCCTATGACTTTAAGGAGAAAATCAGTATTGCTATACTTGTCAATAGGCTTTTTGGGGGGAACACTTCACGAATTTGTGTGTCATCTCTTGTGCAGGGGCCATGCTAATCTACTCTGTATCATTCCAATTTTTTAGTATGTGTGCAAGCACAGTAGGCTCCTTTAAAATTTTTTAATATAAAAAAACTGATCTGGCTATTTGTAATAGTTCTTGTAAGTTCTACAATGAAAAACTAAAATGTATTTTTTTTCCTAATTGTGAAATAAATTGATAAACAATTTCTTATTCCATTTGTCTATTCTTTAAATAAGGTAGTTCTGTTTTCCTAATATGAGTTCATGGAAGTAGCATTTAAGTACTAACAAACCTGACTGGAAGCACTGGGGTCTTCAGAAACTGAAGAAGGCATTTCAAAGGGAGCAGGCCATGAAGCCCCTTCTGAGTCATGTGTCTGATCAGAACTTGATGATTCCTGTTGTTCTGCAGCTGAAGGGACAGGCTGAGCTGCTCCATCACCATTGATACTGCCCAAATCAGAAATTAAAAAAACAAAATAAAAACGACTTTTGACAAAGTTAACTTTATGTTACAATCTACCATTTATAAAAGATGGTGGAAGAGATGGACATGTATGATTTCACAAATGGTGTGACTCTCCTTTGTGTACAACCAGAAGTGAAAAATTGTGCTCCATTTGTATACTATGAAATGTATTCTGCTGTCATGTATAACTAATTAGAATTTTTAAAAAACCCCAGACTTTGTAATCAAGTATGTATTTTCTTAACAAAAATTAAAATGAAAAATGTAAATACATCATAGTGAAAAAAAATTAATTTTACTAGCTTCAAATTAAATTTTAGATCAAAATTTACTTTTTTTAATATATATTTTTTTTCGTTGTAGTTGGACACAATACCTTTATCTTATTTATTTATTTTTATGTGGTGCTGAGGATCAAATCCAGCACCTCGCATGTGAGTCACAACCCCAGCCCCTCCTTTTTCTTCTTAAGGTAAAAATAAACAAGTAGTCAAGTACCTATAATATAAAAACTTGGAAAGAATAGCCTTCTGGTACCAGTGTTCCTTGCTCTTTTTCTTCCTCTGCCACTTTTGATCTATCAGTCTTTGATAAAACTCTTTCAACCATGTCCAATCACCAGTCTGAGTAAGAAAAAAATTAAATAAATATTACACACATAGCGGAAACAACTTGGTACTATGCTATCGTTTGGATCCTGAATTTTCCCAAAGGCTTCTGTTTTTAAGGCTTGGTCCCCTGCCTGTGGCACTATTAGGAGGTGATGGAACCTTTAAGAGTGGAACCTTGTGGAAGGAAGTTAGGTCACTGGGACATACCCTTGTAGAGAACATGGGGACACCAGCCCCTACTTTCCCCTCTTTGCTGCCTAGCCACCATGAGGTGAGCACTTTCCTCCATCATGTGCTCCCCAACATAATATGCTCCCTCACCATAGGACCAAAGCAAAGGAGCCAGCTGGTCATAACTGAAACCTCTGAAACCATGAGCCAAAATAAACCTTTCCTCTTCTTAAACTGAATATCTTGGGTATTTTGTCACAATGGCTGAAAGCTAACAAGCTCCTATTACTCTTTTATAATCGATTCTCTGTTGAATATCATTGGCATAAGCACACTCACAAAACACCTATATTTCTATACTCAATTCATATTGCCTCTTTTAACTCTTTTAAGAAG